AGCCAGCGCGGTGCTCATCTCCGCCCGCCCCCGCCGGGTGTAGCCCAGGCAGTTACGCTCAGTTGTGACATGGTCGCCGGTCCCTGCTTCCGAACCCCTCACCTGACCTTTGGGCACGTGCAGACAGCCGTGAGAGTGCGGAGGGAAAGGAGGGTGAGGCAGGGCGGGAGGCCGGGGGGCTCCGAGGGGCCCCTCGGCTGAGCGGCCGCGTGGGTGGCGCGTGGCCGCGCACTGAGATACGGCCGGAGCCCTCAGGAGCCACTGCGGGAGGAGTGCGGGCAGGAGCCAGAAGTGTGATTTTCAGAAGCCGTGACACATGCCAGCAAAGTGAAGTCTAGGGCGGCCACTGCTAAAGCCAGACAGCGACCCCGAGCAGTGAACGGAAGCAGCGTCTCCGGTATGTGAAGCCCAAGGGGTGAAAGACTGTGGCGAGCCAGAGAGGGAAAGTCCAAGAGACGTGACAAGTAGATAATAGGGGGGTGGGGTGAGGGTGGGGGGCAAAGCGCACATCAGGAAGGTGAGGTTTCAAAGAAAAAAGGGGAGACGACTTCTGCTGTTCTTAAGAAGGTCTGAGGGATTGGAAAGACGCAACCAGACAGGGAAAATGTAACTTCTTCGGCATATCGAACAATTTTAAAGCTTCTAGAAAGAAAAATACAAGCCCTTAGTGAAGGATACAGAATGCGACCCCCATAAGATGCCAGAAATTGAAAATTAGAAAACCTTAAGATTAATGTCTGCTCTGGAGTGAGAGTCCGACCCCAAAGCATCTACCCTGCTAAGAGTCTTTCCTTTGTGATGTGAGAAGAGCTTTTAAAAATAAATATTCAGAAGCATACCATATGTTTACCCTTTTGACAGGGTAATTTTTTTTTAGAAAGGAAATTCCTGAAGCAACTGTTGTAACCAACTTGAGGTAAAGATGATAGCTTAATACGCAACCTCTCGCCTCCAGTTAGAGACACCCAAGTCCGTAAGGGCCAAGAGAGGAAGTAAATTGGAAAACAAAAAGCTGAAAGGTGATTCTTGATGCACAGCAACCTGGAAAGCTGAATCCTCAGTGCCACGTGAGATGTGAGAGAGATGAGACGCTGAGGAGGAGACGGAGGAGGAGACCCTTATCAGGGCAGTGCCCCTGGGGAGTCTTAGTCCTGATGTCCCAGGCCCCTGGGAAATTCCTCCAGCTTGCACTGTTGGTTCTTGACATCTGTCAGATTTTCTCCCTCCCTTCTGAGCAGGATAGCGCTCTCTTCTTGGTTGGCAAAAACTGGGAGAATCTGCCTGTAGCGCATCAGATAGTCCCTCCCCGGGAGCTCAGGCGCAGTCGTATCGAGCAGTGGCGAAGGGAGGCACGGGCAGGATGGTGCACGCCTCCACGAAAGGCCTGTTGGCCACTTGCAGGCCTGTGGGCCAGCAACACTCAGGCACAGCAGCCCGAAGTCATTATCGTGTGATCAGTGACCACTGAGTGACGAAAGCCGCAGACTATTTCTGCATTCAGGTTTTGTATTTCACTTGATTTCAATTTACTTGTTGGTATCTGGCCATTGGAAACCTACAAGACTATGGATATAATTTTTTTTGAACTCGAAGTGAATATTCTAGTACTTTATTTAGAAGTTAATTCAGAATTTATTAGACTTAAGAATATTCGAATATCTCCTATTGGTCAACGGCATGCTTATGTAGCCTGTAATGACAGACCACCACAACACGGCTCTACAAATGTTAATCAGAGTTCAAAAAGAGCTTAAAAAAAAAAAGCTACTCTTCCATTATGTGTATAAAGAGTGACTATGAAGATGGAAATAACCATCTCTTATAAGAAATGACACGAAACTCCATTTCATGTCACAGCACAGTGAGACTGTCGGCAGTCAGCCCCTGGAGCGGATCTTGCAGTGGCCACCTCCCTGGCCTCTTTGTTGGGCACTGCTCATTTGTGTTTATTTGGGGACTGTGCTTACACACATGGGGGGACTTTTGTAATTATTGGGAGTATCAGATACTGATCACTGTAGCGAAAGAGCTAGATGATGAACTAATGTTCATGTCATTATCCACCAGGAAAAATTAAGGGCCCCTGTCTGCCTTGGAACAGCTTTCAGGTTAAGTGGAAGAGTGGGGAGGGCCTGGGTCTGCCTGGCAAGTGAGGACCAGCGACATTTGGCATGTGTGTGTGTGTCAGGACTCCGGGACCAACTGGGCCAGGGATTTCAGCAAGGAAAAACCCAAAGGTCCGGCAGTTCATGGAGAACATTGAGAGGGAGTTCGATTGGGGTCAGAGCTGGCCAGACACGCTACAGAAGGTATCAGGTCGTAGAGGAACATATAGGGTTTATTTGGGGACTATGCTCTTGTTCACTATCAAGAGGAGCCTGATGTTAGAAAATTATGATAAAATGGTTGGGCTGTGATAGTGTCTTATATACCACCATTTTAGACCTGAATATCCTCTCATTATTTTATTTTTTTTAAAGATTTATTTATTTGTGCATACAGAACGGGGTACAGGCCAGAGGTTCAGGGGCAGTGAGAGGCTTCACCAGACACAAAGTGGGGAACAGAACAGGCGGATCGACAAAGTACACAGCAGATCCTCTCATTATTTTTTATATTGACATAAAAATAACATTGGTTCATAATAATAAATTTCTGGTATACAGGATTATAAATCAACATCTGGATGTGTTACATTACTTTCATCACTAAAAATCTAACTTTCATCCTTAGCCAAGTGATGGACTCCCTTTGCCCATTTTGAATTTCCTCTTCTTGGCATGGTGAGATGTCCCCAGAGTGATCAGGATCTAAACCCCTTTGCTTACTGAGTGGCAAGGTGTCTAACCTCGGTCTACAGCCTTCAGTGTTGGTAAAGTACAAATACAGGCGAGAACAGAATGATCACAGTTGCTTCAGGTGGAGACAGTCACAGAGACAGTCTGGCACAGTATGAGAAGTCATTAGATTTCGAAATCCTTGACAATGCCCTGTTACTGGAGTTCTGCAGACTCCAGTTGGCCAACTGTCCGACAGTGCTGTGTCAGCACAAACGCTAGAGTAGTTGTTTTCTTCAGCACTTCTGTTAAAACGACTTGACAGGTGCTTAAAATGTCAAACCAAGCAAGTCTTCAGCAGTTATGAGGACGGTGGGTACTGGTCATTGGTAAAACTTGAGAATCCCTTCCAGTATCAGTAAAAGGTTTAAGGTTGGCAGGCTTCTCGACAGTGTGTTTGTGGGCTGTGATGGATGATGGCTCATTTTATTTTGTAGCTTCCTTCCTCGATGTTATCTGAGTCAGTGCAATTTGTTAAAGCAGTTGAAACACTGATTCCAAACTGATTGCCTTCCCTAAGTGTCTTCCCCCTACTGCTAAGGCATGATGTGCAGGTGTGTCTAGAGAAGGGACTGTTTTGACGGTGAACCACTGCATCATGACGTAGCAGACTCACTCCTGGAAAAGAGCGTGTCTGAAGTGCTCTCATAATTGGTCTTGCTGTTCATGACCCACTGAACTGGTTGCGTGAACTGGCAAGTGGTTTGTATTACCTGGTTTGGTAAACATGAGTCAAACAGAGCTATTCAGAGTGGGCTCTGTGACCTGTAGCAGGGGCATCTGTGTTGCTCTGGAGCTTGTTAGAAATGCAAATGCTGCAGTCACACTCGAGACTTATTCCCAGTCAGTCTGTGCAGGAGGAGACCAGACTCTGCTTGTATCCGAGTGTGGTTCTGTGCATAGTGGAGTCTGAAAGACTCTGGTCTTCTTTGTACTTGAAAGAGCTTATGAGGTTACAGCTATTGATATTTGACATATTTTACAAATGAACGATAGGAACTTTCAAAATATTTATTAGTTGGCTTCCAGACTAACAATAATAAATTCTTTGTGTGTTGACATCACAGCAGTGATGACATTGCACATCATGTTTCTCTTGGACCAGGGAACCTCTGTAGTTTGCTTCCCCCTCAAAAAAGAAAAGAAAAGAAAGCCAATAAATCTTAGCATTATTATGACAATAGTTTTGATCTGACAGAGCCCTAAAGGGCCGTTGGGGGTCTCCAGTAGTCCCCAGGCCACACTTTGAGAACTGCACTGATTCCTGTAGTTCTCACGTACCATAGTTCATGGGAGCACACACACTGTTCTCATCGATGCTTAAGTGTGGGGAGAAATGGGGCCCTCTTCAGAGCCTGTAAGAGTGTGGTTTACTGAAGTTCCTGTCCCAGTTGATAGACCCACGTTGCTATATACTTGATGTACCTGCTAGGTCTGTTGCAAAGAAAGATAGTTACCGGGGCTTCCCCTGCCCTTGAGTTTCATGAACCTCCCCACCTTTCCTTTGCACAAATCACCTCCCTATCAAAAAATGTCCTGCAGATCTGGAAGGTACATATCTAACTATGGATACTTTTAATCTTTTTTTTTTCTTGTCCTAATTTTTCAGTTCAGATGACTTTATTTTAAATTTCAGTAACTACCTGATTGTTTTCCCCTGTGTTTAAATTGTACAAGTAGTTTCCTAGTTGCTGGTAGTTCAGCACTCAAACTTCCTGGGCTGTCCCACTTAATACTGTGTCATCTGTGTATAGTGCCATGGTAAATAAATAACATGGAAATTTTGGTGAGATGACAGAGTTCTCACGTGTTAGCTTGCAGACCCTAGAATGTCAAATACTGCCTTGACTCACATATTTGTTGAGGAATTAATCAAAGTGAGCAGAGTTTTCTGCAAGTTGTACAGCGTGAAACCAGAACAGGGAGTTTCCTCAGGTTGGACCATTGCTCCCAGTCCTTGTACATATTTAACATAGTCAAACACTGTTTAACATGGGGATACATTCTGAGAGACATGTTGTTAGTTAGGTGTATAGTAGTCATTGTGTGACGGTCACAGAGTGTACTCACACAAACCTGTATGGTCTAACTTACTACTGACCTTGGTTCTATGGTTCATATAGTATATGATCATTGTTATAAACATGTTCTGTCAACTAGTACATTATGAAGCAGCATTTGACTACATGGTAGCCATGGCCCAGCCTCTGTCCTTGACCAGCAACATTCCTTTACTTCTTGCCTTGATTCTGCTCTCCTGAGAAGTCACTGGTGATGGAGACTGACAATGAAAAGTAGATGAGAGGAACCTTATGTTTTTCCGGGAGATCTCAATGGCTCTGTTTTTCTTATTTGTAATTGTTCTGTGTGTCTTTCTCAAATTAGTCTTAAATTAGACTTTGAACTTCTAGTGAGGGTTTTTTGCTCTTAATATTGTCACTCACCTTCCCCTGAGACCCCAGTGTTTGGTTCATAATAAAAGCTTGATAAAATACCTGTTTGAATAACTAATAACTTTTAAATAAAAAACATAGATGTTTATAATATGTATGTGGTTGATTAATTGATTGAATTTCCCTTAGGACACAAGTTAACCAAGAATGAGAAAAACCAGTTATTGGCAATAGCATCATCATTGTTTGTGGCATCCCAATTAAGAGCACAGCATTTTCAAGATCAGGATAATGCAAGGTATGGAAGATCATTTCAAACAGAATACGTGAGCAAAATGTTGATGATCTAATATGCATTGGAAATGGTCAGATAAAGGATCTGGCATCTCAGTTCTGGATTTTCTTATGGGTTTTTAAGAGAAGTATAGGCAAGTCACACTGTTTAAAAATGACATTGCTTCTATTTTTGTTCAAATGAATAAAGTCAGGAAGAAAAAAGGGATCTTGGCTCTAATTTGAACATCATTTGAGGTAAGATACTCAGAAATCTTAATGGGAAATCTATTCAAATAACTACTCTCATTTCTGTTTATTTACTTTGTTGATCTTGGAAAAAAAAAAGCTTTGACAGTATTACAATTGAAAATTTAAGAATAAATCTGAACAGTTAAGAACATATGTAAGAAACTTGTTTACAAAAAACCAAGGCGGAATCAGGACCTTGATGAGTTCTGAGTATATGCCTTTTAGCTTCCTAGAGATGTAATTAGAAGGGGAAACATGCTTTATACCAAGGCAAATGGATACAAAATCACTATGACATTAATGATTCGAAGTGATGAAATTACTTGTTAGGCATGTGTGTGACCTTCCTGAGTTCATTCCTCTGAGCATAGTGCATTGATAATGTTGTATTACTTCAGTTTCTTTTTCCTTTACTTTTCCTCAAGAGGAAGAATTAAAAAAAAAAAAAAAAAAAAAAAGCAAAGAGATGACAGGTGGCCAGGCAGCTCAGAACAGCACCGTTCATGAACTTGCTTCTCCCTGAAAATAGGTTGAGACAGTCTGTTCATGGCGAACATGGTTCTCCTCAGAAAATCTTGGCATAACCAGTATGCTTCACTTGTTCTGTATCTTAAGAGAAAGTACAAGAAGCTTTTGCCTCATCTTTTTTTTTTTTTAATAATTTTTTAAAAAAATTTATTTATTCATACAGAACTGGGGTACAGGCCAGAGATGCGGAGGGTGAGAGGATTCACCAGGGACAGAGTGGGGAGCAGAGCAGGCAGATCGACGAAGTACACTGCTGAGGGGAGCAGTGGGCGGGCCAGGAGAGGTCTGCCTCACCATGTGGATCTCCTCCGGGGCAGGCGGGGATCGAACTCATGAGGAAGTGGCTTAAGCTTCTTAGTGCTGTGCTCCAACCCGCTGCGCCACCAGGGAGGGCCCTTGCCTCATCTTTTTTTAAGTTGTGATTTGATAGCGCTTTAGGGGGAGGGAGGAGCTAGAGGATACTGCTGGGTGCCTGGGTGCCTGGAAGAGGTAAAAGTGGGCAAGAGAAGCATGAATGTGCTCATTTCTCCCTGTGGCTGCACCGCCCTGTGTGGGCCACGTGCCACGTGCACATTCCAGTGTCGTGGCGGGCACCGGTCACATTTCAAGTGCTCCAGGGCCACTCCTGTATTGTGGTTAGTGCTACTGTACTGGGCAAGAAAGGTTGGGACAGAACCTTTCTCTCCTCAGAGTTCTGGGGGACAGTGCTGTTCTGGAGGGAGATGTGTGTAGGAAAGAACTTAACTTTTCAGTTTTTTTTAAAGGTTTATTTATTTGTGCATACAGAACTGGGGTACAGGCCAGAAGCTCAGGGGCGGCGAGAGGCTTCACCAGAGACACAGTGGGGGAGCAGAACAGGCAGATCGACGAAGTACACTGCTGAGGGGAGCAGCGGACGGGTCAGGAGAGGTCTGCCACGCCATGTGGTCACCTCCGGGGCAGGCGGGGATTGAACTCATGCGGAAGCGGCTTAAGCTTCGTAGTGCTGTGCTTTAACCCGCTGCACCACCAGGAAGGGCCGAATTCTAATTTTTTAACCTTAATATTTCATAGTGAATATTTCTTCTCTTTATTTACCAGTCTTTGGAAGAATCTTTTTATTATAGAGAACTTAAGACATACATAAAATAGACGTGTTTTTCAAAACATATACAAGCTAATATAGTAAATGGCAGAAGGCATTCAGAAACAGCCAAAAAAAGGACTTGTATTTATAGTATATAAATCATTCTGACAACTCAAAAATAAATCGAATAATTTTTAAAAATAGAAGACTGGGCATAGACTTTGTATCAAAAAAGTTATACAAAAGGAAAATAAGTTCACGAAAAGGTGTTCAACTTCACTGATCATTAGAAGATACAACTTAAATTCAAAGGCCTCACCACTACACACTTCCTAGAATAATGCACTTCAGATGAGTGTATACAGAAATACTGTCCATCCATAAGAGGATGGAGGTACTTATATGTGCACAAACATGCATAAATCTGTACCAAGCAGTCATGCTAAGAGAAATAAACCAGCTCAGACAGCTATAGAATTCATAATTTAATTTACTTGAAATTTCTAGGAAAGGTAAAAGTATGAAGACAGAAGGAAATGAATGGGTGCAGATATTAATGTCACAGAATTACTACTTTGTGCATTCTGCACCGAAACCCATAGATTAATAATTTCTTTAAATGTGTTAGTATTTTAAATTATGTGAGAAACAAAATGATTTGTAAATCAGTCACAATTGTACTAACATTAGTCTACTAGTTACTTTTTATTTTTTAAAGATTTATTTATTTATGTATACAGAACTGGGATATAGGCCAGAGGTTCAGGGATGGTGAAAGGATTCACCAGAGACAGAGTGGGGAGCAGAACAGGCGAACTGATGAAGCACCCTGCTGAGAGGAGCAGCGGGTGAGATAGGAGAGGTTTGCTGCACCATGTGGGTCACCTCTGGCAGGAGGTGGGGCGGGGTGGTGTGGGGTTGGAGGGAGACTCATGCTGAAGTGGCTTTAGCGTCTTAGTGCTGTGCATTAACCCACTGTGCCACCAGGGAGGGCCCCTAATTCTTTTTAAAAATGGATTAGCTTTTTAAATTGCGAAGAGAACAAGAAGTAGATTTTCAGACTGCTGTTAGAGTTATCGTAGCTTTTATAACTGTCCATGCATGTATCTGCGCTGAGATAGTAATTTTTTCATGTGTCTCTATTCAGTCCAAGGTCCTCTTATTCCAGCCAACCCTGAGCATTTTCAGAGGGCTTGTCCAGCAGCCAAAGACTCCCTCAGCTTCTTGTTGAGAATCTCTTAACTTCCCCCTTAGTTTTGAAGATAGTTTTGCTGGATTTAGATTTTCGGTTTTTTCTTTCTTTCTTTTTTTTTTTTTTGTTAAGCACTCTGAATATGTCAGCTAACTGCCTTTGGCCTTCAAAGTTTGGGGTGAGCAGTGTGCTCACAAATTTACTTCTCTTGCTGTTTTGAAGATTCTTTGTCTTTTGATGATGATGGGTTGATGTGGGTCTTTGCCTTTATCTTACTTGGAGTTTGTTTAGTTTCTTAGATGTGTAGATTCATGTCTGTCATCAAGCGGGGGCAGTTTTCAGCCACAGTTGTCTTAGGCTCTGTTCACTTTACTTCAGTCTTTTTTCTTTCTGTTCTTCTCTTTTGTTAATTTCTTTTTTGTCATCCTCAAGTTAACTGATTCTGCCTTCTGCCTGCTGCAACTTGTTTTTGATTTCCTCTAGTGAGCTTTCCATTTTTATTTTTCAGCTCCAGAATTTCTCTTTTATGCCTTTTTAGGTTTTCCATTTCTTGATCGATGTTTTCATTTTCTTTAGACATCATTTTCTTTACCTTCTCCTCATTTTCCTTTATTACTTGGAGTTGTTTCCATGCTTTTGTCCAGGGTATTTGCTTTTTCAAGGTTGTATTCTTTTTTACTCTTTGAGTAGGCCATGCTTTCCTGTTTGTAGGGTTGTGTTTTTGTTGCTGTTGAACACTGGACAGTTGAGTCTAATAATATGAGTAACTCTGGAATTATGTCTTCTTCCCTAGCATTTATTGTTTCTCTTTATTGTTTTGGTTTCTTTGGATTCATGTTATGTCTCTTTCTTGGCCAAGGATCAGCTTGAGGTGTAAAATTAAGGTCTTCTTCAGTCTTCTTCCTGGGCATGTGTAGTAACTTTTGCTATATGTGCATTAAAAAAATTTCTTTTTTGTATATTTCACATCATTCTTCATTTTTTTTACAATGCATGCTTTTCCCTCTCAGTTTTAGTCCCTATGAAATTCCCACCACCAGTTCACCCATGCACTGTCACCACAGTGCCTTGTGCTCTTCCATCCCTGTTTTGAGTTACTGTTGATTTTTATTTTTACCATCTTAGTCTTGAATGCCTGACTCTTGAAGGAGGAAAAAGCCAAAAATGAAGGGGGAATAAAAGGGCACGCTGGCTGGTAAAATTCCCTAGAAGCCCTGTCAGCCAGAGGGAGAGGGGCTTGTAACAATAGAGGGAGCCACAGTAATAATGGATGAGCATCCCCTGCACCCTTTATCAGCTAGCAGAGAGCAGATGTTGGAGGACAGGGGCCTTTTGCCCACCTCTCTTCTGAAATCTGTGTGCACAGCTGCTTATGACGAGGCTGGGGGATGCCGTGAAGACACCGAGATCTGAAATTGATGCGACTTACCATCTGCATTTCCCCTAGAATGTTGCAAGCCTTCAGCTGCCTCCAGAGTTCCAAAATAGTTCATTCAGCCAGAATCCTTGTCCTCTTACAAAGCTTTTAAACGCCTTTACCTATTAGAAGTTGAGGAAAATTATGTTGGTGACTTAAATGGGGCAGCAACTCCGTGATGAAGATACTTGTGCACATGTTGCCTGTGAGACAAACATTAGTTCCTGTCGATTGCATTTTCTTTCGAAGGTGTTATTTTTAGTTGGCCAGTTTGTTGTAAAGTAACCCATAGGAGTAGAGACCTATACCATCTAGCAAAGTAGAGCAGTCAATTTGATAAAGTATCATTTTGTTTAGCCAAAGTGAATCTGAAAAAGCCCCTGACATCAAAGCTGATGCCAGATGACCGAAGCTCATTTTAGCGTCAGTCATGTTTTCATGATGGCTTGGGGATGGAGAGGAAGAGTCAGCCTGCAGATGTGGCTCTGTGTGCTCTGTCGCGGGTTGCCCATGTCGTGTTTATGCTCCCAGACTCGGTCGCCCCCAGCCCTTCCTCTCCCATGCTTGTTT